ACAACTAGTTATTCAGCTTTGGGTGATGAAATACAGGCATCAACATGTTAAAGCCAAGTGAAGGTTTCCTAGCATCCGCTTTTTATTTTGTCAAAAGTAAATCTGAAATGAAAAAGTTTGCTTTTCTAACGGAAAGAGGCACTAAAATCACATCTCAAGGTGCAGAACTACTCGCTGATACAGCCGTGTATAAAAGACGCAAACCATTTTGTGTGGAAGGCATCAAGTCACAGCACTGAAGGCTAAAATATTACTGAAGGTTAAAATATTAGAAAGAAGTATTAGTTTGGGCTGGTTTACTGATATGTGGTGTCTCTGAATAGAGAATAATAAAATCAGTAAATCTCAATTTTAATGTCATTTTATCAACAAGAAATCCAGCTCCTTATTCTAGATGTCTAGAGTCCAAAGCAATCAACGTCATACAGCATATCTCCAAGGCCTAATAATCAACAGCAGATGTATTTGGGTTTGACACTCCAAGCAGTATTTAGTACTGAATTAAGGAAATATTATCACCATTTAGTTTTAGGCAAATTTAGGCAAAGTTTTCTTTGGCTCAGTATGAATCGTAAAGCACTCAGTCGCACATGAACTTTTCAAACATAAAGGCCCAGTCCCATTTCTTATTGTTACCCCTACCCCTTGTTTTCGAGGGTCTCTTTCCCTCCTGGAACTGAGTTACAGGGTAGTGGTTGAAATCTTCCCTCTGAAATGGGACCCTGAAATAAAAAGAGCATTACTTCATTAACAGCTACCAGCGCTGCTCTGTAGGCGACCCTGCCAGTCTGCAGTGACAGCAGAGGAGGGTAAAGTTCAGCTCCTCACTGCTGGGCTTTAGATACATTTAGGGCATCATACGCCTTCAAAGAGGGGGGCAATTATTTATTATCACCCACCCCTAATTCTTCAGTGATATGAAGCTGAAGTCAGATATTCACCAGATTCTTGTTCATATTTTCCCGTTCCACCTTAAATGGAGCAGCAGTTCTGATGCCTGAGGCACCAGAATGCAACTGCTGCACCATTTAAGGTGGAACGGGACATTGATTTAGCTACCGAGACGTCAGCACTAGTGATTTTTAAGTTTGTTATGAAGAAAATGACCATAATACACTGAAACAACATTAAACTAAGATAATACGATGGTTATTATAGTTTTTTAACAGAGAAAATTCTCACATTTGTGTGTTTCTTTGGTCTCTTGTTCTCCATCTTGCCGGTTTTTCTTATTTTCTCATATCTCTCTGTTTGGAGTCTCTGAAAAACCTCCGTTTGGAGGGTCATGTAGCCCCAACACTTCACCCTACCCCTCTATCTCAACAAGAATCAGGACACCCTACACCTAGACGATAATGCACAAAACAGAGGGGTAGGGATGATTGGTAGAGGCGAGGGGTGAAACTGGATTGGGCCAGTGTCGTGATAAATTCACAAGCATATTATATTCACTGTACTTTTAAAAATAACTCTGTGTGACGTTACTACTGTAGGCCTGTGTGAATTTGATAACACCCCATGAGCAGCTTTGAAGGGTCTACCGTCCGGTCTGAGAAAACAGTCTCGGCGAAATACTGGAAGTGTCGAACGAAATCAAAGTGCAGCCCAACTAGCACGAACATACAAACGAAGTCTGATGCTGATCAACCATGTTTCTGTTTGTTTTTGCCCAACATGAGCAAACATGAAGGAGGAGAAGAGAGATACAGAGAGATACAGAGAGATACAGAGAGCGAGAGATGGTGAAAGGTTTCCGACTGAAGCCTGGGCTCGGTATTCAAATGAAGCCATGATGTATGCAGAAGTGTTGCCTCAAAGTCACTATGAAAATTAATTAAAATTCACACCTCCCCCTTCACAAGCATCGTGAGCCAGTATAATCACAATGCTGAAACAATTAATTACGGACCAGCTGAGAGGTTAAAAAAATAATAATAATACAGGTTGTTCTTTAGAGTGCTGCTTGAGCCAAACCTGATCGCATGTCAGATTTACTCATGTAGACGATGAGGGATAATTCGTAGTGCTGTTAATTTCCCAAACCCTTGACGGACGTGGCAGCGTTTGAGATGCAGTCGCTGCTGCGTGGGCGGTCGGAGGGGAACGCAGCAGCGAGTCTGCGGCTGGTTATTACTCACAGCGCCTGCCTTCGGGTTATTACTCTGGAATGGTGCATCATCGCACTGAGCTGAATGACATGTGTCATCAAGTGGCGGTGAAGACGAAAAACAGACATCCTGGCCCTTCACAGAAATGAGAGAGATGAAATTCTGATTTGGAAGCTCTACACTGGAAAACAGGAACTGATTTGATTCGAATATCATTTCCACATGAATAAAGTATTTTACCTCAGCACAACGTCAACTGAGTCACAAACTGTGTTAATGTAATGAGTTTTATTCATGTGGAAATGATGCACAAGTTTGGATCAAGTTCATATGAACTGTGAAGCAATGTAGCACTTTTTTAGTGTACGGTTCACAAAGACACCACTTCAACAGGCATGGTCACAACTACAGCCTAGCAACACCTTAGCAACCACCTGGGATACCATAAACAGAGCCTAGCAACACCCTAACAAACACCTTGGATACCATAACTATAGAACTACAGCCTAGCAACACCTTAGCAACCACCTGGGATACCATAAACAGAGCCTAGCAACACTCTAGCAAACACCTTCGATACCATAACTATAGAACTACAGCCTAGCAACACCTTAGCAACCACCTGGGATACCATAACTACAGGAATATAGCCTAGCAACACCTTAGCAACCACCTGGGATACCATAAACAGAGCCTAGCAACACGCTAGCAAACACCTTCAATACCATAACTATAGAACTACAGCCTAGCAACACCTTAGCAACTATCTGGGATACCATAACAACAGAAACACATCCTAGCAACACCCTAGCAACCACATAGAATGCCAGAACTACAGAACTGAGGATACCATAACTACAGAACTACAGGCTAGCAGCACATTAGCAACTACCTGGAATACCATAACTACAGAACTATAGCCTAGCAACACCTTAGCAACCACCTGGGATACCATAACTACAGCCTAGCAACGCCTTAGGAAAAAACAGCAACAGGCATCAATCTGAAGAATCATCTTCAACAGGTGAAGAACTATTTTTGCATGCAAGTGTTTCTTTGAACGTTCCTGGTTCTATATAGAACCACTGTCTTTAATGAAGAACCCTTACAGAACCGTCTCTTATAAGTGTATGCAAGTTATTATTGAATAAGTTAACGGCAACTATTAATACAACATGCATATCTAAAAGTGATTCCAAACTTAGGAACAGTAGTATAGACGTGTGTGTGTGTGTGTATAGGTGTGTGTGTGTAGGTGTGTGTGTGTGTGTGTGTGTGTGTGTATAGGTGTGTATAGGTGTGTGTGTGTGTGTGTGTGTGTGTGTGTATAGGTGTGTGTGTGTGTGTGTGTGTGTGTGTGTGTAGGTGTGTGTGTGTGTGTGTGTGTGTGTATAGGTGTGTGTGTGTGTGTGTGTGTGTATAGGTGTGTGTGTGTGTGTGTGTGTGTGTATAGGTGTGTGTGTGTGTGTGTGTGTGTAGGTGTGTGTGTGTGTGTGTGTAGGTGTGTATAGGTGTGTGTGTGTGTGTGTGTGTGTGTATAGGTGTGTGTGTGTGTGTGTGTGTGTGTATAGGTGTGTGTGTGTGTGTGTGTGTGTGTGTGTGTGTGTGTATAGGTGTGTGTGTGTGTGTGTGTGTGTGTGTGTGTATAGGTGTGTGTGTGTGTGTGTATAGGTGTGTGTGTGTAGGTGTGTGTGTGTGTGTGTGTGTATAGGTGTGTGTGTGTGTGTGTGTGTATAGGTGTGTGTGTGTAGGTGTGTGTGTGTGTGTGTATAGGTGTGTGTGTGTAGGTGTGTGTGTGTGTGTGTGTGTATAGGTGTGTGTGTGTGTGTGTGTGTATAGGTGTGTGTGTGTGTGTGTGTGTGTGTGTGTTGTGATAAGAAGGTTTTATTTGCAGTGCTGAGTGACCCAGTAAGTGTTGTTACACAGCGTGCTGCAGTCTCACTGCTGTGAGTAAATACCAGCTCGTAATATTAACAGAAAGACAGCGAGAGACACAGGAAAGTGAACTGAGCCGAGTCCAGACAACAACAACTCACCGAGGACCGGAACGCACAACGTACAGCACTGTGCAAAAGTCAGAGACCACACAAAACGACCACTGAGTACAAGCTTAGACATCTACAATCTCAGTACTGAAATAAAATCTGCAGACCCGCCAAAGTTCAGTCTTAGAAGCTGGTTGATCATTTTCTGAAGTAATCAAACACATTCAGTGGTGTTGAGGTCTGGACTCTGGGGTGGTCAGTCCATTGTTCAGCTTCTTTGTCTGATGTGTCCGTCTCCTTTTCTCAGTGAGGTTCTTCTTGAACAGTTACACATCCTTTCAGACCCACAGCGCTGAGCTGGTGGCCCACCAGGTCTTGCAGGTGGTTACAATTTTGAAATATATTTTAAATGTTTTTTAACTCCAGTTTTGGAAACTCTTGTTATTCCACCTGCCTTTCGCCTAATGCAAGTAGATTATATTTAATCTGCTCAAAAACATCTCCTGAGAAATTTTGAACCAGTACCTAATGACCGTTCTGGCTGGAAAATATAATAATAATAATTTTTAACTTTTTCACAGCACTAAACCGCGACTGGTTCTTTATTTGCTAATTAAAGGACAGACATTATTTTTATTATTATCAACCCAATACTGAAATTACGCACTAGCGAAAGGGCTTTCCCATTCTTTTTAACATTACCACACAAAGGAATCACTCAGAGGCCCCATTCCCGGCCACGGGGCAGACTTTCTAACGCTGCACTCCTTTGCCCCTGTAGACTGTTCTGAGTCAGAGAATCTGCTGGATGTGTAAACTATTAAAATAACTGCCGTGTCTGATTATAAAATGTATGGACTAAGTTATTCATATAGTCCTTTAATAGGAAAGGAGATGCTCTGCATACCTTCAGGGGGCGGAGGGCGCTGCCCACCTTAGTGCAGCAGCTCCTCTCGGCGATCTCGAGGTGACGGCCCCGGCGATGCAGGGTCTGGAGCTTAGCCTCCAGCTCCTGAAGATTCCTCCGATCTCTCAGAGAGAGAGGCCTGCCGTCCTCACACTGCGGAGAGGGGGGGAGAGAGAGAGAGAGAGAAGATGTTAAAGTCTGTGACCTGACCTCTGGCAATGCAAGTATGCTATTATTAGTCATGCCAGTAATGAAGTCTGCACTGATTTAAGAGAGAGAAAAATGATGAAATGAAGAAAAAATACTGATAGAATGAGTAAAGATGGAAGGAAATCAGGAAGGAAGGAAGGAAGGAAAGGCAGAAATGAATGAATGAATGAATGAATGAATGAATGAATGAATGAAATAAAGAAGAAAGAAAAGCAGAAATGAAGGAAGGAAGGAAGGAAGGATGGAAGGAAAGCAGAATTAAGGAAGGAAGGAAGGAAAGCAGTAAGAAAGGAAAGAAGAAAGGAAAGGAGGAAAGCAGGAATAAAGGAAGAAAGAAAGGAAGGAAGAAAGGAAAGGAAAGGAAAGGAAAGCAGGAATGAAGGGAGGAAAGGAGGAAAGCAGGAATGAAGAGAGGAAAGGAGGAAAGCAGGAATGAAGGAAGGGAAGCAGGAAGGAGGGAAAGCAGGAGTGAATGAAGGAAAGTAGAAAACATTGAAAGAAGGATGGAAAGCAGGACTGAAGGAATGAAAGCAAGAAGGAAAGAAAACAGGAAGGAAGAAAGGAAAGCAGGAAGGAAGGCAGAAAAGAAGGAAAGCAGGAATGAAGGAAGGATAGAAAGAGGGAAAGAAAAGCAGTAACCAAGGAAGGAAGGAAAGCAGGAATGAACAAAGAAAGAAAGTAGGCATGAATGAAGGAACGAAGGAGCAAAGTAAGACAGACAGACAGACAGACAGACAGACAGACAGACAGACAGACAGACCAGTCTCCACCAGCTCATTTCCATTAACCCTCAGAAGTCAGTCTTCACTGGCTGTAATGAAAGCATCCTGTAATTATTATTAATATTTCTGATATAAATACTATAATTAATGTCTCTCCTTTGAACACTCTGGCAGTGTGGAGTCTTTCAGTCGAGACTACATTTGTGTTCGAGAGCAGAGACGTATAGATCTTTATGATGTAATTTAATGTAAAGTTCCAGGTCAAACGCTCAGGTGGGAGGAACCTGAACAGGAAAGAACACTTTACAGTGTTGAGGACTGATCAGCTCTCTGTACTTATCAATACAACAGTATAATATATATTAATATACACTATCAATATACACTATCAATATAACACAGTCTTATTATCTTATTAAGTGAAGTGAGAGGTGGAGATTAAACCTGGTGATACAGAATGTAAATGGTGTATCATACATATATATATATATATATATATATATATATATATATGTGTGTGTGTGTGTGTGTGTATATATATATATATATATATATATATATATATATATATATATATATTCACAGCAGTAACTAGACTCCTGAGGGGCAGCCCGAGGTCACCCACCCCCACATACGTATGTGCAGACGCACCTGCACGGACCCCACCCCAGCACCCACGCACCTTGGCTTTGATCTTGTCTATCTGCTGCTCGACCTCCTCCACGTCCTCGGTGTTCTCCAGCCGCTCGTACAGGACGCTGCGCGTGCCTTTGATCAGGTTGAGGGGCAGCACGGACATGCCATAGGCCTGAGACAGCATTAAAGAACAGTTACACACCGCTTACAGGCAGGAGGGGATGCCCACACAGTGCCCACCCTCGCGCCGACCCCCCGCAGCGCGCACACAGTAACATATGCCTAGCCGTGCAGGGGAGCTAACTGCGCACATTAGCGTGTTTGGCCTTTGGGCCACGGCTTTTCAGAGAGGACAGCTTTTAAGCGCTGCTGCATTTGACGGCGCAGCACTCACTGGTGTGTGTGTGTGTGTGTGTGTGTGAGAGAGAGAGACTGTGTACTGTGGCGCGACCACAGACACACAGAGTAAGAGAGACAGAGAGAGGGAGTAAAAAAGAGAGAGCGAGGGGGAAAGACAGAGAGGGACACAGAGAGTACTGTGTGTCTATGTTTACTTCTGTGCAGCAACCATTTTGAGTGGAGATGGTAACTCCATCCTGCAGCTCAATGTACAGCCAAACAGCGCCCCCATGTGACAGCACTGTACCTGAGAGGCAGCCTAACACACACACACACACACACACACACACACACACACACGTACCCATGAACATGTACACACACACAGTGGTTTTTATAGAGTGGCTAGAACATGGAGACATATATACAGTATGTCCTGTCTGTATTATATATAAAAGCAGCTGTACACAGCAGTATGTGTATGTATGTATGTATATGTATATACACTTATATATCTGAGAAAACCTTGTATGTCCAAAATGATAACATACTTTAATTTTAATGTAAGTCAATGGAACCAGAATTTTTTCTGAGTCATTCTGAGTTTTTTCTTTTGGTCTGTATATTGTGAAATTTATATACAATGTAAAGGGCAACAGGCATTTTAAAATATTGACAAACACTGAAAAACGTTGTTCCTTCAATTGAAGCAAATTTATTCCGAGAAAAAAAATCTCTCATCAAGAATCAATTATTTTTAATAAAACTAATAATTAATTAATGGCACCCCTAGAAATTCTTAAAAATAAATGGCAACTGAAGCACTTTTTCCATGAATACCTCATTTTGTACAGTTGATCAGAGTGCCTAGGAACTATCAAACATAAATCCATGACTTCTTGTTTCACTGGGGTACATATATATGAGGATACACCGAGGTCAAATTCCTTTTTCATTACTGTTCAGCGTGTGAAAGACTAGAGAACACACAGTCTGAATAGGAAAGGTGTGTTAGCCGTCATAAATCAGGATTATAAAGAAAATAGCTCCCATCAGCTGGACCTGTGACAAACTTGCCTGGATGAGGAACCGAGTTTATTCTGCCCCCACACAGTGAGGAGGATCGAAAGAGAGGCTAAAACATCCCCCAGGATCACAGCTGGAGAGAAGTAGCATCCTGGGGTCACCGAGTCTCCAAAACTACCATCAGACTCCGCATCCATGCCAACAGATTATTTGGAGGGCATGACCGAAAGCCTTTCCTGTCATCTGACCACAAACAAAGGCACCTGGAGTGCTAAAAGCTACTGAGACTGGGACTGGAGCTGCGTTCTGTGGTCAGATAAAACTAAAACTAAGCTTCTGGCAACGAACACTCAAGTTGGTTTTGGTGTAAGAAGAAGGATGACCACACTGAGAGGAACCTGATGCCCAGTGTTAAGTCTGGTGCAAGATCTGTGATGTGGAGCTGTTTTCCCTCTAAAGACAGTGAGAACCTCGTTGGGGTACATGGCATCTGCTCTGAAGCTGACCCAGGAACGTCCATTTGGGATGTCTGGATGGCTGGGGATAGAAAAGTCTGGGTGGATGTTGGCAGGGTGCAAAGTGACCCTGAAGGGGGTCAAGAAGGTCCTAAGTTAGATATGAGTTGACGTGTAAGGCCTGGGGCTGCATGCTGATTTACTATTCACGTAAACAGGGCCGGCTGTAGCCTTTTGGGGGCCCTTAGCAGGATTTTTTGGGGGCTTCTCATTATGCTGGCTGTACTATAACATGAGACACTAACTAATAGCTGTCAAATTGTCTGTCAGAATCTGACTTCCTCTGCCAAAAAACTAAAAATGGCTCGTCACTGGATCTTCCAGCAGGACAATGATCCAAAACGCACATCCAGATCAACACAAATATGGTTCACTGAACACACAGTCAAGCCTCTGCTGTGGCCGTCTCAGCCCCCTGATTTAAAACCCATAGAAGACTAGGGCTGAGCTAAAGAGGACAGTGTTCAAGACGGGATCGAGGATGCTGGATGATCCGGAAAGATTCCATAAAGAGTAATGGTCAGACATCCTGCTGTGTTTACTCAAACTTTATAAGATGACAAAAGACAAGATTAAATGGTGGTTGTACAAAGTATTAAATGCAAGGGTGCCAATAATTATGGCACATGTGATTTTGCTGTTAAACTGCTTTAAAAAAAAAAAGAAATAAACATCTCTTTATGGTAACATTTCAGAAATTAAGGTATATATAGGTCAGTCATGATTAACTATATGAAATAATGCAATTAATCATGATAATCATAATTATTTTCATTGACAGCAGTAAAATCTGGATTTATGATATGATGTACTTAAATATATATATATATTAATATATATATGTAGGGTACGTTCAACTGGGAGGGGTCTGTCCCAAATCTTAACCCCTTATTTTTTTGTATTTTGTTTTTTTAATGTTGATTATTAAAAGACTTTTAAAATCACTTTTTATGTAAAGCTGAAAGATTTGGATTTGGATTGTTAATATGCTGTCCCAAGTTTTTATGTCACCACCGAAACACAGTTTTAGTCTGTAGGCGGGGCCTTATGTTAGCCACGCCCCTGCATTTTAGAGCTGGAAGTGAGGCTGCATCCCTGTCCCTCATGGCCACATGGTGAGCAGTTAGATCCCACTGTTTTGTAGTAAATGTGTCCCAAAGTCTGGAAATCAGTGTGGAACAATAAGAATCGTCGTCATATTTTCTGCAGTTCAGCACTTTTTGGAACTTTTTATGGAATGATTAATGATTTGTTTTTCACACATATATATATATAACAAAATTAAAGTACAGAGTCAGATCAAGATCGGTTAAATTCCCAAATGTGTTTTCAGCTCTGTATGTGTACCTATTCATACATATACATAAATATATATGTTAAAAAAACCCTTTACAAAGTCAGGACTCTCATATTACATTTTTCTTTGCACCTCTTGGCCTCAAAATGTACAAAAACAAACACAAGCACACACACAGAGAAAAAGAGAGAGGGAAAAGCTAAGAGAGCAGCTCGACAGATGCATGATGATATTACTGATCACTCAGGGCTCGAATTGTGCAGCTTTCTAAATGCCATTAATCATATGTTATTTAAACACCCCAGCGCACATCAATAGGCATTTCCAGCGCCATAAGGGAGGGTGGGCCGGGTGGGCTGCGGAGACAGAGAGGCTTGGGCCAGCAGTCTGTGAGCAGACGCTATATGAGGTGTCTGAACTTTAATTAAAAATGAGGACCATCTTCAATACCCATGTGGTGGCAAATCAATACAAGCAGAGAATAAAGGAGACAGACTGGGACCGGGCGCGCACACACACACACACACACACACACACACACACAATCTCTGAGGAATACGGGCAAAGATAGTCCCGGGGTGCTGCCATTTTCCACAGCTTTCTTATTAAATCACACACACAGAGCTTTAGCACAATTAGACCTTCAAAAACAAAAAAAAACAAGTTTGACCTTTTTTATCTCCTCTGGGAAGCAGGGAAAGAACACAGATTGCTCTGCGAAGTAGAGGTGTGCGATGTGACATTATCGTTATTGTGATTAATAACATCACAAAACCTTTTTCTGTGCATATCATGAATATTCACAGCAAGGAAAATACTAACCAAACTCACAAAAACCTGATTATTCAGATTCAGCACAACACGCTGAACACAAACTGCTGCACTAATATGTTCTGTTCTTTCCAGCTTCTTTCCACAGCGCCCCCTAGTGGCCATTCTGCCAGCAGAATGGAAACAGACCTGGATATTTTTAATTAATATAATGAATTCAAACATTTCCCCTGTAACTCTGTTATCAGATGAAGTCGTACTCTGGCGTCTCTCTGTGTGTGACATCTTGGTACTCTGTTTAGCTGCTAGAGAGCAATGAGGGCAGCTTTCTTAATTCCAAACAATTCTGTCCATCTTCCATGATAAAAATAGCATTTAAACGCAATAATAACAACACTTTTAGAAATGTTGACTTGTTTGACCACCCATAAAGACAAAAATAAAGACTTGTAGTCAGCATTTCTTAAACTGGGGGGCCGCAGAACAATTTCTGAAGTTGTATCTCTACTTAGTACTTTTTAATTTTGTCAGTTTGTTGAATCTGCTTAGGCCAATATCTAAATAAATAGTTTAAATATGTTACACGTTACTAAACATTATTAAAATAATATATACCTCACAGAAGAAAGAAAAAGCATTCTTAACTTTCAATGGAAGTCAATGGAACAAGAGTGTTTACCAGGTACTTCTGGACCATTTGGCCATTTCTGTAGTTCTGTTCATCATGAAATTCTAACAAAGTGCAAAAGGGTAACTGGACTGCTAAAATTATGAAAAAAAAAAAAAGAGGTTTTGATGTTTATGTTATTGGTCAATTGGACAAAGCCTCATATCTCCACTTTTGCCATTTTTAGGTTTTGTTCCAACAGCGGTGATATATATATATATATATATATATATATATATATATATATAGATAGAGAGAGAGAGAGAGAGAGAGAGGGGGGAGAGAGAGAGAGACAGATAGATAGATACTCATACATAAATGTATATGTGTGTGTGTTTACATATCCTCAACGTTGCACAAAAAGTCATGCAATAACCTTTTCTTTTTTTTGTAATTAGGAAATCTATACATATATATTCCTTCTTCGATTTTTTGTAATGATGATGATAATACATGTTTATGTATCAGCACTGGTATCGGATTTTGACATCAACACAATTCTCATACTGGTGCATTTCCATAGACATATATATCATTCACATTATTTATTTATATAT